GAAAACTGGGTGGGACTTTCGGAAACAGTTCTAAATTGGTTTGAATCCTACTTAAAGGACAGAAAAAACTTTGTTTCTATAGGTAAATACACATCTGAGTTGACAAATATGACATGTGGGGTACCTCAAGGCTCCATCTTGGGGCCTCTTCTCTTTAACATCTGCATGCTATCACTGGCTCAGATAATGAAAAACAACAACATAAGTTACCATAGCTATGCTAATTTAGGTAACAATTTCACCAGGAAACTATGCTCCAATTCAAACACTGAGTAAGTGCATTGAACAAATCAAATACTGGATGTGTCAGAACTTTCTCCAATTAAACAAAGATAAAACTGAGGTAATGGTTTTTGGAGCCAAGGCAGAACGTATAAAAGTTAGCGCTGAGCTTCAGTCTGCAATGTTCAAAACAACAGATAAAGCCAGAAATCTAGGTGTAGTCATGGACTCTGACCTGAGTTTCAACAGTCACATTAAAACATTTACTAAATCATCTTACTATCACCTAAAGAATATATCTCGAATTAAAAGACTAATGTCACAGCAGGATTTGGAAAAACTTGTCCATGCTTTTATCTTCAGTAGACTGGAGTACTGCAATAGTGTCTTTGCAGGTCTCACTAAAAAATCTATTAGAAAGCTGCAGCTGATTCAGAACGCTGCTGCTGGAGTCCTCACTAACACNAACAACGCACGTGCCTTGTTTGCTACCGTCAACAGACTAACTAACCCCCCCAAAATCATTGCATGCCCTGGTGGATAGAAATTCAGAGGCTACTGACACTGGGGGGTTAGTTAGTCTGTTGACGGTAGCAAACAAGGCACGTGCGTTGTTTCTGTTTTTGGTAATGATGTCAGAGAACAAAGACTGTTGTGTGTTTTTCAATTCCAAATTATAAAGGCCAAGTCTCTCTTTATAGATTTCAAAGTGAACCTGGAGATTAGTTTTTCGCCACCTACGTTCAGATTACCAGTCGTGTATTTTATATGTGGCAATTCAAAGTTCAATTAGCCCTTCATCATCCGCTAAGATGCCGACCTGATGCTGCAGGAAGCTTTTAACAGCTGCAGCAACCTTGTTGGTGGAAATGTCTTTTTGGAAAATGCATTTTCTTTGAAAGTAGTCTAGACACCATGCTGTTGTTGAAGGACTGTTTCTGAGGCTTCATGTAACACAACAAATGATGCAGTGAGTCAATGTTAGTTTTAACTCTTGGGCTTTGTAAGCATAAACTGATTAGCTAGCATGTTAACATATAGGGTTTCATTAGAGCAGATCACGTGAAGCACTTTTGGTCCTTTTTGGACAATTTTCTGTTTGCATTTCATGATAATTTGTTTGTTCGCTTGTTCTTACTTCCTTCCCATTGCTTTTCTCCTCCTCTCACCTTTCCTCCTCTGTTCCTCCTCCTCTCTCATCCTCTGAAGTCGCTCCATCTGCCGCCTCCTCTCCTCCTGCCTCCTCTTCTCTCTTTCTCGTTGTGCTTGTTCCCGTTTCACTCGCTCCTGCTCCTCTTCCTCGTGCTTCCTCCTCTCTTCCTCCTCTGCCAGCTTCCTCAGTCTGGAGATGGACATTGACTATTAATTAATTGGCCGTTCTGTTGGTTTCAATGTGCATATGGACACTTTCATATTGTTTGAAGAAAAATAGTAGGACCTGAGCTCTTCAGCCCTCTTCCTCCTCTCTTTATCCAGCTCACTCTTCATCCTCTCCTCTGTCTCCTCCCTCTTCTGCTGTTTTAACTCCTCTTCCTCCCGCTCCCTCCTTTTCCTCTCCACATCCTGCCTCCGTCTCTCCGCTCGCTTGGCAAGACGCACAGCTGCCACCTCTTCCTCCTCCAGGCCATTTCTAGGCCTGGAGGACTAACACACACACACACACACACACACACACACACACACACACACACACACACACACACACACACACACACACGTAGTTTTTGTGTGCAATTATTTGGTGCCTAGCAAACATACGTGATGGGAAAATGCCTTAAAAATAGTCAAATAAGGGGAATTGAACAAGTAATGAGAACTCTGTATTACAGCAGTACCTAAAGTGGTCGTTTTCTGATAAACTGTCATTCAGGTGGCATTTGAAAGATTAACACCATGCCAGTGAAACACATGAAAAATTAGTCTTTATTCTACGTATGTGAAACAAAAACAACCGCAATACAATGTTTTATAGTTATTTGAAAACCTATGTACCTGCATGTTTCTTGTTTTTCTAAGTTTTATGATGATTTATTGCATCTGTTGCGCTTTGGATTAAATGAAGTGTTATGTAATGTACCAACCTCTTGCTTTATCGGGTTCAGCATCAACTCTTCCTCTGTTATCATGACGGTTGAACATGAAGACAAGCAGCCACGTGATGGAGCGAGACCCGTAGCACTGGCATGCTCCACACCCTCACAGAAAGAGGCAGAAGACCTCTTCAGGCTCTTCGGGCTGAACGGGGATGCAGTGGACCTGAGCGAGCTCTCTGATTGGCTGTGTTTGTCCGCGTTGATGTTAACATGCTCTTTTTCTTCCTCTAAATGGGTTTTGGTATTGTGTCTTTGTGTTGCAGAGGGCCTCTCGGTCGATTTTAGGTGAGAAGCCTTTTTAATGTTCTGGTTTATTTCCTCCTCCTCTTTCTTCATGGGCTCCTCATTGATTTCTTCAGAGAAAAAAATTAAAGGAATGTAAATTAAAAGAGATGCCACTTATCTAAATAACGCTGGGTGTCTTACCACTTCTACAGAGACAACTACAGTCATTTCATCTCACAAATGTTTTCTAGATGACGTATTTTGACCTAAGAACATTAAAATCAGGGCTTAGGATTTCTCTGCTCCAAAACAATATGCATTTCTGCAATACATGTTGCAGATGTTTTGATGATGTGATAACAATTCTTTATGTAATTACCTCTCTTCACTTTCATGATTCACTTTGGTAGCATTTCATAACAAAAGTCGTCTCATTCCTGAATTTCTGCAGTTTCTTACCAGCCAACTCTTTGTCTTTCAGCCTCCCTCTCCTCTTCCTCCTTACGGCAGACTCGTTCTTTTGTCTCGCCACTTCTCCTCGCTCTTTTTTCTTTTCATTCGTCTTCTCTTCTCCTCTCCCTCCTCCTTTGTCTGGCATCCTTCTTCCCTGAGGACAAATTATATCTCATTTCATTTGTATGCAATGCTTAAAGGTGGGGTAGGTGAGTTTGAGAAACCGGCTCAAGCTATACTTTTTGTTATATTCCATGGAATGCTCTTAACATCCCGATAGCAATGAATATCTTAAGTGCTAATGCTTTGACAAAAAATCCGTAAAAAAAATTCATCTGTGGAAGCCGTGGTGCTGTAAAATGCATGACCAATCATCTGAGCCGGTCCGGCTAAAATAACTGGATGGCCTACCTGCCTGTCAGCCTTCCATCTGTGCACAAATTTATCTCGTGCCCTCATTGGTCGTGTGCGCGTTCGTGTGTGTTGGAGGAGGGGCTCTGTAAGGAAGTGGCAGATTTTTTCCGGTTGTGTATTTTCAAATTCTAGCGCACTCGAGCTGGTTTCTCCAAAATTACTGTGTATTTAACAAATTTGATATACTATAGAAAGCTTTGAGGCACATCTTTGTTTCAGTGACTTCGAGAATGTTCTTAAAAACCCATCTTTCTCTGCAGGATTAATAGGCTCTCCTCAAACTGATGGAAGCAGCAGCCACAGCTACCTCACAGCATTGCAGAGTACACCAATCTGTGTAAACCAGTCAATTACTGTAGTACTCACTACGGATGGTAGAGTAGAATGGTGCTGAGTGTCTGCCTCTTCTCTGTTAGTCCTCTCCTTCTCTGTCCGCCTCCTTATCGATTCAGCATCACTTTTCGTCTTTTGCCTCTGCTGTCCTCCTTCCGTCCTCGCCCTCGATGTCTTCAGTCCATCTGATGCTTCACTTTTCCCTGGTTTCATCTCCCTTTTCCTTAATGAAATGGTGAACATCGGTCTGTGTGCGTTTGTAGGCTACAGCTTGTTACTCGTTGCTAAGTGTCTGCTATGTTTTAATCAGGGTCATTTTTGAGATTTCCCAGTTCACCTTGTTGTTGCTGCAGCTTCCCCAGCGTCCTTCATCTTAGTATTCGTCCTCCTTTTGTCCCCAGTGAGCTCTGTTGTTGCTTCATTTGGGTTGATGTTCTGCTTGCTGCGAAAAAAACATCATCATTAAACTTTAGCTTCTCCATGCAAACTTTATTTGTTTCACATTTCACTTTTAGCAACAATTTTCAAGTGTCAGATGGTTATGCAGGTACCATCTCAAATATGATTACTCTTCACATGGTTATTTAAAAGACATTCACTTTTTTTAAAGTATAATGATGAATCGCAACTTTTAAAAATGAAGATTGCAAAAGGAGAAAGACTGAGACTCAACGCCCATCTTTATTGCTGACCATTGAAACTAAATATGAAACTAGAAATCTTGGTGTTCCAAATCCATGAATTAACTATTTTGAGTAATACTGAGGAGATCTGAATGTTATATACACTTACCCTGGTTGATGTGATCCATGGATGCTGCCCTGCTCGGTGTTGCCTTCTCTTGGCTCCTCCTTCCCCACCTGCTCCTTCAGTGGAGGTATGGTAACGTTGTTTTTAATCCCTTTTGTCCATGCCACTGCCTCTGAAGTCTTTGTTTTTGTCTCCGTCACAGCCTCTGGAACAGCAAACAAGAAGTTTGGTTAAAGATAAATACACATTTTAAATAATAATAAACTGAAACAGCAGTTTTACCTGGGTCTTTCTGGCTGCTGGGTGAGCATGCATTGATCTCGGTCAATGTGTGAAATTCTACAAGCTGGTGGAAGAAGATAATACAAAAATAAATAGTGCGATATATTATGTAGATGCTCAATGTCTATATACTGAATTCAAATATTGGATTATTGTTTGTCTTTCTTTGTATAGTACCTACAGAAAAAAGACCTGAATCATATAGGTGAGCATGCAATCCAAAACCCTATTAAACATTTGCATTGTAGTCATTAATTTACCTTGTGTATGGCTTGATGGTGCTGAATGTCACCATCAGGAACATCTGTGTTTGGCTCTAACTCTCCACCTGCAAAGGGTGAGATAGGGGATAAACACAGACAGGGTTGGATTCTATCATGTTGAAGTTATGACAGCAAAACTACGCAAACACAAGCAGACGAGTTTGGTCGAGTGTGATGGAAACTTCTGAAGCAATGGAGACAGGACTCAGAGAGACACGAGGAGAGCAGGAACTTTGATGGCAACAGTTGATACATGCCAAACGAATTCTGAAGAACTCTACCCACGACCCATGTATTTAGCTGGTTCTGAGAGAATAATTAACATGCTGTATAACAAGATAAAGCACTATAACACCTCTATCAGCTGACGCTAACAGGCAGGAACAGGGAAACAAAACACTGAGAGCACAGCACCCAAGGTTGTGCTCATTGAGGGGAGGACAAACAGACAGGTGTCTTGACAGTAGCCACAATGAAAATTGTACTGTAAAAGCATATTTTGTCTCTAAGAAAGAAGACATTTATAGACAGTAAGAAACCTTAAGTGAAGGTGTTAGAAAATTGCAGTTACAGGTACAAGGTATAAGGAATTATTTAACTATAATGTTTATAAGACCATGACATCCAAACCTGGAACAAAAAGGTTGCAAGCTATGTGTGCATTTGCTCAAGCCATCGCAAATCTATTTTATGATGTAGAAGCCAATCCCAGTACCTTAATGGCATAAACCGTTCTAAAGTTACGAAAGCAAACCACGAAGAATCACACAGAGGTATGGGGGCTGTGGCTCAGAGGTTTTAGTGGGCAGAACGGCAAATCAGGGGGTTAACAGTTTAACACACTGTGGGTGTTTCTCAATGTCGAGGACGCTTGCTTGGTAGCACATGTCTTCCGAGTCACTTGCTTCAGAAGCGAGGCAAGAATCCTTCCTAGCCTCGGAAAATGAAGAATTGTGGAACAGGCTAACAGGTGTACAGGTGTGCGTCATATGCGAGGCCCCGCCTTAAATGGAGCGCGATTTCTTCCAAAGATTTGGAAATTGGCCTGTGCACAAAGCATTGTGGGGATTTTAAGACAGCGGAGTCTACAGCAGCCTCGACATTTCTCGCTACGAAGTACGCCGGCCTCTGGTAGAATTCCAAGTATGCTGGACATTGGAACAGTCCTTCAGCGGCACTCGATGACGTAGTATGCTTGAAATAGTGGCTCTGGAGCAGCCTTCCTCGGCATTGCGAAACACCCCTCGTGTCCTTGCGCAAGATACTGACGCCCAAATTGCTCTCGTAGGCATGTCTACGGTTTTGAAGTGGATGTGAGTTGCTTTGGATAAAAGGGTCAGCTAAATACCATGTAATGAACTATATTGTCATGTAATGCATGGAAAGAGTCTGTTTCATATAAAAACCAACATATGTAGTTAGCTTGTTACAACGCCAACACGTAAAGAAGTTTTCGCCTTAACAGCATCAAAGAGCATTGCTTACCGAACATGCTCCTCTAACTTAAAAATCCCAGTGCATGTGTGTGTGGTGCACCTGTATGTGTCTTTTCAGCCTGCAGCACAATGACCAAGGGTAACTTCTCTCCTTCTGCAGATAAAACCTGGAGAGCTGAGAGACAAAAATAATTGTTATTAATTAAATCAGACAACTCAGCATTTCGTTTTGAGCGTTTTGTCTAGGCGCTGGCCTCCCTGCAAATATGTTTGACATATTGTGGAGTGATGATTCAATAACTGCCCCTAGAGCTCACAGATGCTGGGGTGGTGGTGGGGCAGAAAATCAGCAGCACTATAGAAGCAGGGCAGCAAAAGCATTAGCGAGGCAAAGTGAGAGATGGCAAATCTTGCAGCTTAAAAAGAGGGCGAGGTTTAGGAGAATGTGCGTGGCTCAAGATTTTGGATATGAAGATAGAGCTTTCACATGAGGGCTTACTACGTGTACCTTGCTCCTGAGTGTCATGGTCATGGTTGTGATTGTACAGCGAGAGTTGAATGATCTCCCCATCAGGACCCAAGATCAGGCTGCCAACAGGTTTGCCGTTCTGCAAATCTGACAATACATATCAACTCTGACAACAGGAAAAATACACCCTTTGACAGATGAATGGTAGCATAACTGTATCTTTTGCTACTTGGATTATTGTATTTATATGTCAAAAGGTATGGGTGAACTAGTCTGTTAAGTTTAATAACCCTACATGCAATTAAAACAGTATATTCTTGGAGAGACCGGGTTCTTGTCCGTTTTCCAAATCATTCCATTGTAGGTAAACTTCCACATTTCAGCTTAGATGCAGAAAGTAATCTTAAATCACCCAAATTTCATAGAAGGATGAATATGGAAGTAAACAAAGGAGTTTCAGGCAGGGGGGGGGGACTCCCACTTGAACCTTTTGCATGCATACAACGTATAACACACTACAGGAAAGGGAAAACCCCAAAAAACATAGTAGGGCCCATAAAGCTCTCCATACCTCTCAGCTCTAGAGGCAGAATACCCCTAACCACGCCTCTGCTAGGATCCCTCGATGTACAGGGATTCTGGAGGTCAAGCTGTCGATTCTGTAAGAAGGCCAAAGAGCTCTGCTTGCCTGGGCCTTTCCGTCCTGCAATACTACCTGCTACTGGAGGAGGAGGAGGAGGAGGGTTTAAAAGGAGAACCCACAATGTAAAAGAAGACACGAAGAACATGGTGAACATTTGCAGAAAATAACAAATATTTTCCCATGTCCCCCTACCACAACCTGAGATGCTGGTTGTTCCAAGGCCTGGATATGTTTTAAACTAGATATATGGTCCAGATGAGAAACAGAATGTGTCTTTGTTACCCTCCTTTTCAGGAAACAGCAGCGGGAGGAACCGAGGCTGCTGATGGAGTATTTTCACGGTGCGACTTTCTGCTATGGGAGGAAGGCAGTGTGCAGTGTGGTGTTCATCAGTCCTGGCGCCCTCCCATTTCGGCTGAAACATTACATTTAGATCGGTCTGACATAGGAATTATTGCTCTCATATCCTCTCATGTCATGGCAATGACAGAAATCAGGATTGCATTCAATTAAAAACAAATATTGATTGCCCGGGGTTGGGAATATATCATAATAATAATGTGTAGTTTTCTAGTAAAAAGTATTTTACTGTTTCCTTTTACTGTTATTTTAATAAAATATAAAGAGAGAATGTAGTGAAGTAATTCCAATAACAAATAAAATGACGTTTCAAGAAAGTAGGCAATTAAATGCCAATCAAAGTTCACTTGAATGAAAAATGAATTAATTTCTATTTTTGAGCCATTCGTCCATGTTTTGTTTTTACAAAGAAATATTGACGTAAATTGAGGCAGTTTCTGTCATTTGCATTTTGTTTCATGTTTTTATGTCGAGTTTTAAAGATGATAGGGAAAAAGGCATATATATTTTTGTTGTGTTCGAGAACCAAATATTTGCAATTTTAAAGCAAATTTGAAAAAATAAGGATTTTAATCCAATAAGGATGAAGATGTCTGTGTTGAAAAAAGGGATTAAAATGGTTTGTCAGACATGCACTGTTTTCTCAGTTCCTCAATTAAATGTTATTTATAAGTGGGATGTGGGTGAGCACTGAGATACTGCTGTTATATTATAATGTGGCTAAATGTTTAGTATGCTTATGTTTAGTCCTAAAGCTTAAGACTCTGAACAGTCTTACCCTGGCGGTGTTCTCCAAGCAGGGTCGATGGCTAGCTGATTGTCCCACTGTCAGAGGAGGAAGCAGGCCTGTGTGGGGAAGTAAAAAGAGCCTCATCTACATCGACTGCAGAGGAGTTGTATTATGTAAAGGTTTGTTAAATGCTTCCTGACTAGAGAGCAGTCAGGAAATAAACATTTTTTAGAAATTCAAAGTACAGTATGAGAAGGTTGAAATATATTTCTTAATTCATTATATGCCAAAATGTAATTAAACTTATGCTTTGAATGAATATGGAATAGGGCGGTGGTGGGTTGGCTTGGCAACTGGAAGGTCACCAGTTCAAGTCCCGGGAAGACCAAGTGCTACCAAGGTGTCACACACACACACACACACACACACCTATCCTGCCATGTCTGCTCCCCCTTATCGATCTTTCATAGTTGCGTTCATCATGAGTCTTGAGACTGTCTTGAATGGAGCCTGGATCATCTGCCATATCATGGAGCCAGTTCATGTTTGAATGATGGTGCTCCCCTCCTGTACTGTGCTGTGAACTTCCAGCATGCTGCCGACTCATGTCTAGATAAGTCTGCGGTGTGTGGAAAAGACATTTGGCCGATAGGTTAAACATAACATTACAACATTTCACACACATTCCCAAAGATAAAGGAGTATTGAAAAAGACTTCAGTCATTAGCATGCACCTGAGGTTCTTCTAGTTCTTCGGGGGTCATGGCTGAAACGTTAACCCAGGCCTGGGGTTGCACCTGTGAAGTCTTGTCTCTGCAGGGTATCTGGAGGAACAGATCCAACCGGACCGTTTTTTTGATACCTTGCCCCTCCTCTTTAACTGCGGAGAAGTTTCTGTTTGTTTTACAATTGATTTGGTAAAGTTGACTTTGTGCAGTGAAGCTCCTGTGTGGTTATTGTTTTCAAGTCTTGCTTTGCCACTTATTGAAATTAAAAGACCAAGTGCATCAGTCATTTAATAATTTCCCTGGCTCATACCAACATGCTATAAAACCTATGTTCTAATTTGAATTTATCCACCTATATACGTTTGCATCAACCTATATCCATCCATCCCTCTTTTACCTTCAGGTTGGTTCCCCAGGAATTCAGTTATTCCCTCGGCAGGAAGCCACTCAGGGTTCAAATGTCCAAGCAACTCTTGACTTGGCTGCACTTGTATCGTGCAAAGAGGCGGAGGAATGGGATGATGAAGGTCTGGAGCAAGAGGGCGATGATGAAGAGGAGGAAGGAAAAGTGGACCGAGTCTGGAGGAGGTGTACTGGAGGGAAGAAAAACATTAGTGCTGCTAGCTAGTGCTGTTAACAAGGTTAATGAGAGTGCTAGGGAGGAACAAAACAATTCATTAAAAAACAATGAGGCTGTAACAGGCTGTAAAGCTATGTAGAGCTGAAAAGTTGGGTGTATGACCAACCTCTTTCTTACTTTACAGTTTAAAGTATTTCAATGTTAATATAAATAATATTGATAAATGAATTGAGTTTACCTAAATATAATTGATGTGTCATTAGGTTATTATTTTTCTATTTATAATTCAAGTCTGAATTGTCTACAGACAAAATCTTGAACATTAGGCAAACAGTACATTATACAACATGCATACATTTATGGGTATTACACACACACATATACAGTATATATACACATGATAAATGCACATATTCTTAGAGGAGTTTTCCTTATACCTGGCTGTTGCTGTAACTCAAAATGGCTGCAGTTAATTCCTTGAGGGTGCTCAACTGCGACTTGTCTTGTTGAGTGTATCGCCGTACAACTTTCTGCTTTCCATCTCTGGTCACTGCGCTGGTTTCGATGGTAACCAAGTCCTGTTGACAGAAGGTCATTACAAAAATAAACAAACCCTTGGGCTTACACACACATTCACAACGCTCCACTCACTATATGGATACTTCAGTGTGATCGACTATTTAATGAGCACATAAGCAAAATAAAACAAATACTTGACACTGTACTTGATTGAGGCGTTAATTAGGAAAATTGTGGACCACCCATAAATAATGCTGAATTACCTTTTCGTCAAAAACTTTATAAAAAAGTGAAGACATTGTACTTTGGAGGGACAAGTAATGAATCACTAACATTTGTAAAAGAGGTTCGTTTGGTTGATTTATATGACAACATTGCTGCTGATAACTGTGTTGGACGCTGGGTGATAGAAATCCCCCATGCATTTTGGTATGGTTTGCAGTGATCATAGATATTTCAGTGGGATGTGGGAGACAAAAAGCCCCCTTTAAAATATTCCACAAATTCTAATTACAGACATAGACTTGGTGGCAGAGATAAATGCATCTTGAAAGTGAGGCTTATACAGGAAAAACACTGATGTCCTTATTCTACAGCCATTACATTACCAATATCCCTTGTTACATTAGCGCCAAACTGTGTAGTTACTTACAAACACACACACATACCTGGGAATAGAGTTGAAGTTGGCCCCGACGGGTGCTGTAAGTCTTTGGAAGGGCTGACTCTTCATTCACAATCTGGCGGCCGCTGTTGGACAACCGCAGAAGAGAGTCCCGGGACTTCCAGATAAAGTAATCCTGTTGGTCGATTGATTCAAAATATCGAATATATGATGAATGTAATGATGGACTGATTGATTAATGAATGTCTGCTTGATTGAAAGCTTGCCATGAGAGAAGGCATAATGGAAAAACATTTCATAACATAAATACTAAACCAGTAAAAAAAAAAAAAACGAATTGACCAACATACAACTTGGGTATATTATAATAATGTGTCCTCCAATATTGGAAGGCTACTATTAAAGCATTTGCAAGTGTGGGAGCACCTGTGGTGTGAAGCAGACGTCCAGCCGACCATCATGCCTCCCTGTGTTTCCGTTTGACGAGACTAATCGCCCACACCCACGACTAAGCAGGGACAGAGAGAAATCCTTCATCATGTCTTATCTTCCTGGAGGATGGAGGGGTCAAGGAGGACAGGAAATAATCCAGTTATTACATTACATGTCACTTGTTAAACGCTTTTATCCAAAGCGATTTACATGGGCAATCCCCACAGGAGCAATTTGGGATGAAGTGTCTTTCCCAGGGACACAACATCATGCTGACTGCAGTGGGGTTTGAACCTGGGACCCCCTGATTCAAACACCTATATCCAAACACATACGCACAACCCACTGCGCCACGCGCCGTTATCAATAAATTCCAAGGTTAGAAATCTAAATCATTAGAATGATGGTTCTAGTACATCAGGTAAACCCACTGTGACATTTCTGTTGAGTTTTCCTTTTCTTGTCTGTGTTGTTTTTTTAAATGCAGTTAAATTCACAACTTTGATTTGCCTGTGGGTATGAGTGAATTGGGTTGAATATTGTTGAAGTGTGTGTTGGTGAGAGCCCGGCAACCGGTTCAGGTTTACCCTGCTTCTTGTTAAACAACGTGTTCTCGGTACGGCTGCAGGTTACTGTAACGGAACGAGAAAAATGCATGCATTTTGATCATTTAATTAAATTCTAGATAAATGTAAGTGTATAGTTAGAAACATTTATCTGGAATTTAATTGATGCTGTGTTATAGAATAAATAATAGATATGATATTATTTTGTTATAAAAATGCATTGAATACTGCAAGGTCACTATAATACAAAAAAATTAAATAAAAATTATATTTAGCTATTGAAACCAGTGCATGTTAAGTCATTGTGGAGCACAATTCATTATCTCTGTCTGTATCTCCGTCTAACCATACTTTACTATAAAAAGGAATAACAGTGCCTTTAATGCAACAACTCCATATAAAAACGGAAGAGGCAAACTTTCAGTGAAAGTCATAAATAGTCAAGCTTTTAGTTTAACTAGTTCTCAATCCGACTAGCAGTGAATATAACAAAAACGACATTTACTCAAAAATGCCTTGGAAATAAAAATGGTATGCACCCTATTTAGTTTATCAGATCCTCGTAATATCTTTTAGATATTTTGCATGTTTTAAAGCATACATGGGCATTAAAAGACAAAACATTGGACATACCTGTCTCCCTGTGAAGACTGCCCTGTGTGTGTGATTGATTCCTGTTGCTAGGTTGTAGAGTCGGTACTTAGTGTTCTGTTGCCGTGGCGCCACACACACACACACACACACACACACACACACACACACGTGATATCATCCAATCAGAGCAGACACCATGGAAACCTTTGATCTCTGGACACACACACAGGTGTTGTGCTGCGTTCACACCGGACGCGATGCGAATATTCGCTTCGCTCTAATCGCTCGAGTTTCACCGCGGCTGCCAGCTGTGTTTACTTGCATCATTCAAACAAGACGCGCTGGCTCGGGAGCTATAACTACAACAAAATGAACATATTTTACCGTGATTTAATTGTAATACACGTTTCTAAATGATGCCGACGTAACAACATACTGATACCGGTTAGTAAAAACCATGAATTAATGCTTGACAAGTCTGCAGACAAGACGGCAGGGTTTTTTGTTTTCTGAATGGAGATTGGGTCGACCAGGCTAAGCTAACGCAGTATATGCTCATTCCACACTCATAACAACGGCCTACAGACATAAATAAACCAGCGACTGTATTCTCCATGACACAGACAGTCTGTGGTTTGTACTTGTTTAACTTTTGTCTAGTTTCTGAACAGATATGAGGAGCTGTGAGCTCTGAGTGCTAACTGCTAACAGCTAATGGCTGATGTTTTCTGGTTGAACGTCAGTAACGGCAGGCTGAGATCCTCACCTCTGATTGGCTTCCGCGAGAACGCGTCACGTGAATTTGAGGCTCGAGTTGAAAAAATTGAACTCTCGCGTTTGACGCGGCACAGTTCAATAGCCTCAATCGCGTGATTCGCACCGCGTCCACCGCTTCATGCTCGCCGTCGGAGCGAATTCGCGTCTGTCATTTCTTTGAAATGTTAAGCTTTTTCTGCATTTTTGTAGCTAAAAGCAGCTATCATTCAGCTAATAACATATTCAGCTTTTTCTGCATTGTCAGCTAAATTCAGCCATAAATGTTCAGTTTACAGCATTCGCACGCATTTTCTGCAGGAAATGCATTATCTCTGCGAGCAATCATCCTCCGAGTTTCTTTTTTAACCCCGGCAGAACATGCAGGTTTTATTTCGGACACTGTGGGTCTGGTTTGTTTCTTTAACTCATGTCTCTGAAGTGTTTGGCTCCAATCACCAAACAGGTCATTGCAGCATTACCCATAATCCCCTCTGTTTCAGCCCTGTTTCCAAAGTGCTGATTCTCTGTCTGTTACTTTAGATGAAAATAAGGAGTCCCTCCCCACGCCCCTCTGAGAGACATTTGGTTAGAAAGAACTCAATGGTGCTCTAGGAGGAGATTCAGGTGATAAGGGGGGGGGGGGTTACCTTGGTTGCTGATTGGCTAATGGTTACACAAGCCAAAACATCGTTATGACATCATAAAGTGGCCAAAATCTGATCAGCTGGNAAAGACAAAACATTGGACATACCTGTCTCCCTGTGAAGACTGCCCTGTGTGTGTGATTGATTCCTGTTGCTAGGTTGTAGAGTCGGTACTTAGTGTTCTGTTGCCGTGGCGCCACACACACACACACACACACACACACACACACACACACACACACACACACACACACACACACACACACACACACACACAAACAGAGCACAAAAACAAAACATAGGTGCGAGAATCAGATCATAATTTTCCTGCCGGACAGGGTGTAAACTAAAGGAACGGCAGGATGAGGCGGGAGGAACTGCTGGAGGGGTGGGAAAGGGAATTGCTCCAGGTGCTCTAGGCGTGAAAAGGAACTGTGAGATGGGTCAGAGAGGGGGAAAAAAAGAACTGCAGGATGGGTGAGCAAAGGACCCGCCGGAGGGGCATGAACCTGGGGGCAGGATCTGGATCATTCAGAGATCTCAACATGATGCTTCACATTATGATTTTTTTTAAAAAGGGTCTGAATGAATGTTTAGGAGTGGATTTATCACCTGACTCAAATTGGGTTCATGCATGCTCCCATCCTGCTACTTACGTTCTTTCACCTTCTTTAGTTTTGTTTCACCAGGCAGCTTCACAATCACATGTGTTGCTCGACAAGTCACCAGAGGGGACGGGTTTCTCACAGACAGGTTTGCCTGTCATGTTCTTCTCCAGCAGAAAGTCAAAGTAATGGGCTTTCAACTTTTATGTTTCTTGGCCTAACATGGAAGCCTAATGTTTGAATAAAGTCCTAGAGCAGCGGTTCCCAACCTGTGTGCCCGCGAAGGCATTGCAAGTGGGCCGCCAAATAATTTGCAAAACATTATGATTTGTTTGGAAACATTCTCATTATTAAGATTTTTTTTATTTGAACCTCCTTTCCTTTCTCTTTCTCGATCCTCCTTAGCAACAGTCATTACAGTCCTTGACAGCGGTCGGTTCTACTGGATTTACAACGTGTCACATGTTCTGATTTGACCAGAACTTTATTTAGCCTCCGTAATGTTTATGGTTGAATGTGGGCCGCAAACATTTTTTAGATTCTTAAGTGGGCCCTGAGTTGAAAAAGGTTGGGAACCGCTGTTCTAGAGGCACTTATATAGACATAAATCCCAAGAACAATCAACATATAATATTGGGCTTAATAAGATTTGAAGTGAGTGAATCAAATTCATTAAACAGCTTCACACTTACATTTTAGCAAAGATTAGGTGAAGCAAACACATTTGTTGGGGGCCTCTGGGCCCAACCTACATTTTAATGCTGGTCACTTTGATAAAAGTAGTGTACTACCCATTTAACAGATTGTTTCCAGGAGCAGAACATTTATAAAAAAGAAAAAAAAAGAACATGTACACGCTCTTGTACTGTGCAGTTTTCCAGTAGAGTCAACATAAATAATTTCAATGCCAAAATCCTGGAAACATTTTAGAAGTTAGTTTTCACACTAAATTACAATGCTTTCTTTGATGTTCTGCACTCAACTTATATCTGGTGACTTTGATATCACCACAAACTAAGTAGTGGGGTTCTTCCGTTTTCTCAACAAGTATCCTTTGTTATTAAAAATTCTGAAAAAAATGCAACCTCAAATATAAATTCATAATAAGATGATACTAAGTTCATGGTATTTAAAAGCATCTATCAGAGCAAAAAGTTAGCATTACACACTTTTTACAAATTCTTGACATCTACCTCTACTGACATGGCTTTTGTCCTAAATTAAATGTGCCCCTCCATAAATAACTTGCTCCAGTTATCCAGTAATCCAGTTATTTTCTACATTAATAGATGAAGGTCTAGTTTGTTAAAACTCTCAAAATAGTAGGACATGCTCTCATAATTACCCAGAGTCCGAAGTGACACCTTTACAATGTAAAAGCTAATGATGTAAAAACTAAAATATTCAAGATATTGTAGTGACAAATTCAATACAATAATGACTGACAATGACTCAAGAAATAGTAGATACAGAAATAAACACAAATCAATCTGTGTGCATTTGTTGTGGATGGAACACATCAACTGCTGCTCTTACCTGTGATGCCTCCTCCAAACATTATAACCAGACTGTATAATTAAAACTATAAGTACCAGTTATAGCTACTTGACTGTATTGACAAACAATTCAAAAGACAAAATCAACACCAGACCAATCTTTATTTTAGGGTGCCTCTTCTTTTTTCTTTTTTTTTACTAAACCCTCAGATATGAGATATTAGTAATACAGTAATAGCATCAATCTAAAAAAAAACTAAGCAATTCAACAGTTAACTTTATATTTCTTATTGTCCAAAGCATTTATTACACAATTTGTTCCCCTCCCATATTCACAGTGTTGGGGAAATAATTTCCAAGGCCCATAACTTTGACCCAGTTTATCAGTTCATACTGTGCTGACTGAGCACACGCACCTGTAACCTTGGCTGTTCCTTCCTGTTGGCGTCAGCTGATAGAGGTGTTAGCACTCTCTTGTGTTAGCGTCTCAGCACCCACCGGTCAAGCTGCTCCACTGTCTCACATGGTGTTCCTCAGGGGTCAGTATTGGGTCCACTCCTATTTATTATCTACCTACTCCCCCTTGGCACTATCCTCCGTCATCATAATGTCCATTTCCACTGTTACGCTGATGATACCCATTTTCCCCTCTAAACTGTGGGTTTGCTCTGGAAGTTTTTCCTTAGGACAGAGGGTGTCGTATTGTCATACTGATATTCTGTACAAACTGTGAAGTCCACTGAGACAAATGTAACATTTGTGATATTGGGCTATTATAAACATTGATTGATTGATCCTCCCCTGCCTCCAACCTCATCATTGATGGCTACTCCATCCCCTTCTCTGGCCAAGTTAAGAACCTTGGTGTCATCCTGGACAGCTCCCTCTCATTTTCACCTCACATAAATAACATCACCCGGACTGCCTTCTTCCACATACGCAACATCTCCAGACTCCGCCCATCCCTTTCTCAATAAAACACTGAAGTCCTGGTCAATGCATTTGTTACGTCCCGCATCGACTACTGTAACGCCATCCTCTCAGTCATACCCACCTCAACACACGAGATTACACAAATTATTGAGGGAGATAATAATCCCAGGACGACTCGTTTGCTACATAATGAGCTAAACACAAAACGATGAGTGCTAGTTGACATCATTCGTCAAGTTTACTTTGAAACCTCTTACTCGAAATTGGAAACTCAACTTGCGGGTTTTTCGAAAATATCAAACAGAACTTGGAAAAATTAATCATTTACGCCTGCGCCATTGACATATAATCGGCCCGAAATAGTGTGTGTGTGTGTTGTGTGTGTGTGTGTGGTGTTGTGTGTGTGGTGTGTGTGTGTGTGTGTGTGTGTGTGTGTGTGTGTGTGTGTTGTGTGTGCCTGTGTGTGTGTGTGTGTGTGTGTGTGTCCAAATACATCCGAAACATTCTACTCGTCCGATTCCAAAAACTACAACTATGCCTAACTTGGCCCTATCGGTCAAAATCCTAACAACCTACTCCTACCCTCCACTACACAAGACCCGTCCCGTGAACCCACTACTAGGCCCGAGTCCTCGAAAGACATTAC